GTTGATTGTTATCTTCACTTTTCAATTCCCAAAGCGAAAATAAAATTATTCCATGCAATACCGACCTTAAATGGTTTTATCTCACTAACTTGTATTCTATTGAATGTGGTAAATATATCAACAATACCAGATAAAATCGACGGGTTTATTGGCTTAAATTTAGTGATGGATATAAAAAAAGGACCAAGCTATAAACGTTACTGTGTCGATAACTCCAAAATTTACCGTAAAGAAACTTCTATTAGCAGATAACAAAGGTTGTAAAAATGGGTTTGCGTTTAACCCAAATTTCAAGTTATTTCTTTCTTCCAAATAACATTCTATTGTTGTAACCGTTAAATCGAAACGCGATAAGATCGCTTACACATCGTTTACGATTGCATCTTCTGCAACTTTGCGAATTTAGATAACAATGATGGAATGGTTTCAACACTAGAAATTTCATCACACAGAAATGTTATTCACTTGTAGAAGTTGTAAAAAAATTTTTATTTGAGGTTTTCTCTTTAAAATATTCAGTTGTTTCTCTTCACAATATCAGTGTAAACAGTCATAGATTGCAGTCTATGCCACTTCCATTACTGTTTTCGCTAATCAATCTGATAAGATTAACAAAAAGATAGGAAAGGTAATCCTGTATATAACAAATAATAAACTTACAAGGAAATAGACGTGATAAACAAAAACATATTGTAGTTAAACAGAACTATTTTTTTTTCATTTAATATACAATATTGCTTAGAATTATGGAGTATAAAGATTGCAAGGTGGTTATTTTTCTTGATGCTTTTCAAATAATAATTCAGAGAGGTGATAATATCGTTGGTATCTATTGTAGCAAAATTATCAGAAAATCAAAAAGATATTAACTACAAGGTCTACACAAAACAGACTGGTTCTGCAACGATTTTACAACAATGTAGTTGTTCCTTAATATGCGAAGAATATAAGAGAATATTTTTCCCAACTTAGAATCCTAAATGAATATTATTTATAAGAGGCGATAAAAGATGCCAAAAAAATACAGATTAATAAATTTACTCTGCACCATCCTGAATTTAACTACAAGAATCATAAGCAGAAAAGCTACAAGAATTCATTATCAGACGAATAATAAGGATTCAAATCAGGAAAATCTTGCACAGACGCCACAGTGGTCTAAATTCAAAAAAACCCGAACAAAAATATTTTAACGCAGTTTGGGTTGAGATAATTTTTTGAAACTTGGTATGTGGCTATAGGACTATATGCTAAAGACTTTGTGAACTTTTGGATCAAATATGTCAACCGGAAGTACTAATTTACTTGAGGCCACATTCTATTTTTTTCATATAATTTAGGTCCTTAGAATTGGATAAATACAAAATTTTATACAACGCTATTAAATCGTGAAGGATAGCTAAATACAAAATTGTTTAAACTAAATTGGTTATATAGTTTACTTCGATGTAAGGTTTCTATAAATAAATCTTTAACTACAGAGTGTCTCACGTAACTGGTTCGTTAGAACTTTTTCAGGGTCCACTATTCGTACAATTTTGAAATTTTGGTAGCATGGGTTGTTCATTCGGAACTTTCAATCTAAAATATTTTCAAGATTTCTGCCACTTCCGGTCTACTGGTAGTAGACCATAACTTCGTTATTTTAAATAGAATGCTATAGTTTTTATTACACTATTTAATTGTACGTAAAAAAATAGGTTAGCTTTGATAAAAGTTATTGGTACCTAGCGTTTTTCGTTTTCGAGTTATTTTGGTTCTAATTTTTTTTTGGTAAATTTCACCATGCTGTTTAAAACCCCATATCTCAGCCAACGTTCATTCAAAAAAGGTCTAAATTGGTACGATTNACTATTTTTTTTTTATTTAATATACAATATTGCTTAGAATTATGGAGTATAAAGATTGCAAGGTGGTTATTTTTCTTGATGCATTTCAAATAATAATTCAGAGAAGTGATAATATCGTTGGTATCTATTGTAGCAAAATTATCAGAAAATCAAAAAGATATTAACTACACAAAACAGACTGGTTCTGCAACGATTTTACAACAATGTAGTTGTTCCTTAATATGCGAAGAATATAAGAGAATATTATTCCCAACTTAGAATCCTAAATAAATATTATTTATTAGAGGCGATAAAAGATGCAAAAAAAATACAGATTAATAAATTTACTCTGCACCATCCTGAATTTAACTACAAGAATCATAAGCAGAAAAGCTACAAGAATTCATTATCAGACGAATAATAAGGATTCAAATCAGGAAAATCTTGCACAGACGCCATCGTTGTCATAAGACAAATAACGGAAAAGTTGGATCTGCAAAAGGCTTTCCACCGAACGATATGATCCACTTTCTTTATGATAGACCAATAGAGTATAACATCATTAAAACAGTTAAATTCAGAAAATAATAATAATAATAATAAACTGTATTGCCAAACCACACAGCAATTACAGAAATAAAACAATATAATATAGCAAGATAATATAACCAAAAATAAAAACAATAAATGATTCGAAAGAAAAAAAAAAGATACAAAATAAAACTATCTAAACAAAAGAGAGCTATTATAGCATAGTGCGGCAAGCAATTCACGAGGCGCAGATTCAGGAAAATAAAATCCTGTTCTTCCATCTGGACCTCGATAACAAAAAGAGGTATTNACTAGAACTAACACTAGAAACTTTCGGGTTTTGCCGTGCGTCTTTTAAGAAAAGGTTTGACGTTTCGGATGCCATGTTGCAACCTTCTTCAGAAACACTTCGAACCAGTTTAGTTAGTTAAGAGTTAGTATTAGTTTTAGTTCTAATTTTAGTTCAATTAACTCCGGCCGTGAAAACCTTCGTACTTATAAAAAAAGTAGATATTTCAAGAGTTCCAGTTTTTTGCCGCACTGTATCTAACAACCACTTCCGGTTGTTAGATATGCCTGAAACTTTAGGTCTGGTATTCTATTATTGTTATGCGGGTTTACACCAAATATACGAGAGTTATCTTTTAAGAAAAAGAATATAAGCATTTTATATGAAAACAGTCAAATAACACACTCAGGCACTGATCATCTTTGATCGCTAATATCTTGGTAAGGAGCAAGTTAAAGCAAGATGTGGTTATCATGTTATATAGAGCACATCTCAAAGAATAAGAATATTCTAGCGACAAAAGTTCTTCTTGCGTCTTCTGCGAGATATATATGTTAAAACATTTGGTTGTAACTTCAAGTAGGTGTTAATTAGCTTTAAAAGAAGTGCTTATTACGTATTTCTGCAAAAATANAAAGATTCAGCTAACGATAACTCACAAAAGATGATATCGTGATCAGAAATCTGAGAAGCAATAACCCCCGAATGTCTGACATCCACCGTACAGAAGGCAAAAAGAAGATCAATCAATTTGGACGAAGTACGAGTAATTCTAGTTGGCTCATTAATCAACTGTCTAGCATCAAAGGATGAAAAAAGCGTTTTCAAGGCCTCAGTGTTCATATTTTGAGAATTAAGAAAATCAATGTTAAAGTCACCACAGACTATAATCTCGTCACTAAGAGGCAAACACAGAGAGATAGTTTCCTCAAGTTCATCCAGAAAAATGCTACATGGAAAATTGGGAGGACGATAAACAACTCCCAAAATAATTTTACGTTTATTCACGTGGAATAGTAACCATAGTTGTTCAATATTACGGGAACTTTCAATTATAGTGTATTTAAATATATTTCTCACATAAAAACACACACCACCACCCCTACTAATGCGGTCCACCCTTTCCAAATTGTATCCCTCAACCAACAACGAAATAAAATTGAAGTAAGAACACTGCTCCTGTTTAACATCGTAATGGATGAAATTATGAAACAAGTCTATGTCTACCTCTAAGACACTGATCAGAAGAAATGGAACTTAAATATCTGGATACGGAAATGTTGAAACAAAAATAAGAAATCAAGCTGTAAGAATGTCAAGGGCCCAAAAGCCCAAAGCCTGGATCTATAAGACTGCGATTAGACCTATACTAACTTATGCAGCAGAAACACGACCCGAGACATCCAAAACAAAAAGAATACTAAAAAATGAAAATAAAATACAAGATAGATGACAGACAATAAATGTAATGAGCACATTGATTGCATAGCATAGCCAAATTACCATCACGATGAAAGGGCATCGGAAGAGCTAGAAAAAGATAAAGCGACAACCTTTCAAATGACTAAATAGGGACAAAGATATAAAAAATAGATACTTATGTCTAAAAATAGAGAGAGAGGAAGAAGAAGAAGAATTCTTTCTGTCAATAACATGATACAAGCTACCTAGCCTCATATGGTTTTTAGACAAGGGTAGCATCTTGTACTGATCTGCCATACTTACTACTTATACACACTTAAGCATATTTTTCACTAATTTCTTTTTTTAATTGTATTTTTTTAATACATTAACTTCTGCTTCATTTTCTTATACACATTCATTTTCTCTATGTTCTGATTGATAAGGTGAAAATGTTTTGTAAATGATCTGTGCGTACATATGCAAACAGTTTTTCACATGAGCTAACTTTCGATAGTAAATAAGTGCTTGATAGATGCGACGTAGATGCTATAGAACCAAAAACAACATGCTGTTGCCTACCTTTTGGCGGAAGAGAAATCTTTTGAACCAAATAAAAATCTTTTCAAAGCATTTTTTAATAACTAATCATCACAATAAAATAGTAACAACGCGATCAACTCATCTTATTAGAACACGATATCTAGGTTTTATTGAAACGCCTCGTGAACCAAAAATGCAAATTTCAACCTTGGTGTAAATAAACAATGCCTCTTTCATAGAAGAATAAGAAATGATCCGTTATTACTCATTCTTATCACCCGATTTCACTTCATAACTTCATACACATATTAACATTACAGTGGTTAAAAGAAGGAAACATCCTTCTGATAACATCTGAATTATGTTACAATTATTATAGGTCTGTTAAATAAAATTGTTTGTTGTAGGGAACTGACAATGAGAGAATAACCTTAACAACAACACAAGATGCGTCATCTAGAACGATTTCAACACCGGATATCCGTTTAATTGATGGTCCAAGTATTTTAGCTGGGAGAGTCCAGTTAAAACATTATGGAGTGTGGAGAAGCGTTTGTACAAATTCGAAAAAGTTCGTATTTTTAATCTTATTATTATTTTTTATATTATTAATTTTTATTTTAGTTGGACTTTATCGGATATGGAAACCGCTTGTAGACAACTCGGTTTTCAAGGCGGCTCTTTCTATAACTGGTTCAATCGCCAGATGCCATTAAAACCCCGCCTGTTATACGAAGAACCTCGCTGTCGCGGCTCTGAATCCAACATAATTAACTGCAACTGGAATTCGCGTCAAATGGGCTCCGGTGTTTGCGACTATCATCCCGATCTTGCCATTCAGTGTCTTCCAAGACACGATCAACCTCTCCCATATTGGAGAGGTCTCCGATTCGAAAACGCAATTTCCGATAAAGTATTAGCTGTGGATAACACATTACGAGTTCCTTATTCTTTATCTCGATTGCAATACGTTACGATTAAGTACGCGGGAAATGGAGGATTTCATAACGCCACTAGTGCCATTGAAGTTATGGGAATTCCCCCGATTATGGATCGAGTGGATGTTATGGAATCCGCTTATAACGGAATTAATATAACTTTGCCCGATGGCGGATTTGAAATAACTAATTCAAGAATAACCAGGAATCGAGGATACGGAGTTTTTATCAATTCAACTTATGGTTTAGCTAAATTAGATAATTGCGTGATAAGTGAAAATGGTGGTGATGGAGTTAGATATGTTCAATCCGAAGAGAGGCCCGATGAAAAGTTCGATGGTCAAGATAAATACGATGATATGTGTATTTCGGCTACAACTTCGAGTCAAACTTATCCGGTTCACTTTTTCGTACAGCAATCGATTTTTGCCGGGGCGAAAACGTGTTCAAAAAGTTTCCAAACAAAATATGGGCATTTTATTACTTTAAATTTTTTGCGAGCCGAAACTGATCGAAATAACAGCGCCTTAATTGAAATTTACGATGGTTCCTCTATAAATCGAAGACTTCTTACAAGTTTTAATATCAGAAACAACACTCGTCCCCAATCCGTAACCAGCATTAGCAATCAAATGTATATAACTTTTAAAGCGGAGGAGCGAACAAAAATGTTTATGTACATGAGATTATTATCGGGGTATCAAAAAACGTACGATTTAAACGTTAGCCGATCGGATATTTCTGAAAATAATGGAAGAGGTGTTTTGGTGGACAACTTAAAATCGATGGTTCATATTTATGAATCGACAATTTCTAAAAATTCGCACGGATTTCATGTAACAAGTGGAGTTGGAAGCATTAATGTTACCCAAAGTAGGATTTCTTTTAACGAAGGCGATGGGATTAATATAACTTATACCGGAGGAAGCAGAAACATTTCTAAATCATCGATAAGCTCCAACGAAGGATATGGGTTAGCGATTTGGTTAAATCAAACCGAAGAAACCGAGTATATTTATTTAAATCAATCCTCAGTGGTGCAATATTCCGACTTTGTAAAAAATTTGGATATCGGCGTCCTCCACGGGAATTTTTGCGGCGAAGCCAACGTAAACATCACCGGAAATAATTTCAGCTCAAATCAAAACGATGCTTTCGAAATCTTATCTTGTTGGATCCCAACAAATAATTCTTTAAAACTTCAAATCGGCCACAACTATTTTATTTCCAACGAAAAAATTGCGGTGAAAATTTACCCCGCTCTAAACATCGACGGAAAAATCGAATTTAACTACTTCAAGAAAGGTTTATTCGGCGCTTTATTAATCAAAAATAAGCCACTTGAGGAATTTAACATTTTAAAAACTCAATTTTTGGTGACCCAAAATTATTTTTTACAAAACTCGGGGGCTTTCGCTGTAAATTTGGCTCTATCGCCGTATTCGCAATATCAATATTTATTGTTTAAGCGAAACTTCGTTAAAGATAACAACATCACCGAACCGTTTATTTCGGAAGATTCAACGTCTTCTTTAAATCCGCGGAGTAGAGTCGCAGCTCCGATCGTAATTGGTTCAAGTAACGTCGATGTTTTTCGGAATATCATTGAGAATCCTCTATCGAAATACGAAATTGGGAGTCAAGTTGAAGATCAAAGTAAAACTATTAATTGTACTTTTAATTGGTTGGGGTCGAATCGCGAGCAACACATTTTTAATCGCATCTTCCACAGAAATGATCGTTACAGCTTAGCTAAAGTACACTTTGTGCCTTATTTATTACACAATTCGAATCCGTTAACCGATAAGGTTTATTACAACCAAATGTATGTGCATTTATTTATAACTCAAGATTCCTCCATTGTTGGTGGTGAGATTGAAGGCGAAGAGATTTTAACTCCCGGGGATTACACCGTGGAGAAAGATATAAATATTCGCCCGGGTGGAAAATTAATAATCGAACCCGGAGTTACGTTAAGATTCCCTCCTTCTATTGGAATCATGATTGGGGGGAAATTAGAAGCAAGGGGAATCGAACCTGATAGTATTTTATTCACTTTAAAAGAAGAATTATCTTTTGCAAACACCTCCTATGAAATTCAAACTGAAACGGGAATCGAAAACACCGACATAAATCATGAAACAGAAATAGTTTCGATTGAATCACAAAAACCATTACGATTATTAGGGGGGAAAACCGAATACGAAGGTCGATTACAAATAAAAATTAATAACGAATGGGGGACTGTTTGTAATTATGGTTGGACGATTAAAAACGCCGCTTTGGTGTGTCACCAATTAGGTTTAGCCTTAAATCCTAACGATTGGAATTTAGAACGAAATGAAATTCCTTCAGCTGGAACAAGCGAAAATGTGATCCTATCGAATGTGCAATGTGAAGATTTCGATGTTGATATAACAAAATGTCGGGCCGAGCAGAGATTGGAGTTTGAAAATTCTTGCACGCACGATTCGGATGTTGGAATACGATGTTATCCGACTTCTTGGGCTGGAGTTCGATTCGGGGTTTTAGCGGAGCGCTCAAATTTGCAGTTTATCACAATCGAAAAATCGGGATTGTTGGATTACGCGACGAACTCATTTAAACCAGCCCTTCAAATGGATTTTGCTAAACATAACTTTGAAAATATCCGAATAAGAGATAATTTCCACGATGGTTTAGGAATAATGTATTCGGATATTTACACGGAAGACTCCGTTAACGTTGTAAAAGACTCGGAGTTTATAAATAATAAAGGAGCGGGAATTAGTTTTAAACAATTAGGTTTAAAAGTTTATGGGAGTTTAATCGAAAAGAATTTTATTGGAATCGAACATAACCCGGCGTTATCCGGATTGCAACAAAGAGAATTAGCGGGGTGGTTCACGAGTAATGAACCAGAAATTAATTATAAACCGATTTATATTCCACATTACAACGATGCGAATCAAATTAACGTCGAACAAGGAGAAACTAAGTATATCGTAACTTCCCAAATTATAGGGGATGAAATTAATAGGACTTACCGTATAAGATGCACCCCAGGATTCGTTATTGGGATCCAATTGTTAAATCCCATCGCAAATAGAAGCACGGAAAACGTTTTAATTCGAGACACCTTATTAGATAATTTTAACCCCATCAATTCGAATCAAATTAAATCGGATATTTGGAGTTTAAAACGCGATTTAACAGTTTTCCCAACGACTTCAAGCAGCCCGGGAATTATTTTGGAATATTCGAGCGGGGGTTATTCTTTGGGGGGAACTGTAATTGTTTTGAGCGCTATAAGAGCACCAGTTCAAAACGTTTATAATAAAATAGTGAAAGGGCCGATTCCTACGACAGTTATAAATAACAGCAAAATTAAAAGCAACACTTACGGGATTTTTGTTTCTTACTACAACAGATACTTAAACGAACTTGGAGACCACTTCTTAAGAAAATCGAATGAAAGCTTAAAAATCATTCAATCAGAAATTTCTCACAACACAAGAGAAGCCATGTTTGTTCATTCCCCGCATTGGGATCTCCATAAAAGTAATATCTCCGAGATTGTTTTTATGATAAATAATTCCCTCATTACCGATAACGGCGCGGGGATTTATCATTTCTCGAGGGATATGCGAGCTTCAAATAATTTATTCCATTACATTTTACAAGACGACACGATCGAACGAAACTTCGCCGGCGGTTTTCACATAAATCTCCCGTACGTTTGGCAATACAACGAAAATTTCACCCACTCCGTTTACATGAACAACAACACTTGGAGGCACAACTCAAATTTCAACATAATAATCGACGGCCATTTCGCTTTAGTTAACATAACGAAAAGTTTATTCCTCGAAAACACTTGTAAAAACACTTTATTATCGATGCGAGGAATGGAAAAAAAGATGTTAATCGATTTTAATAAAATGGAATCAAATAATGGGAAATACATCATCGATTTCAGCACGGATTCCCAATCGGAGATAATCGGGGAAGTCCCCGCTAAATTTATTTTTAACGAACTCACTAAAAATCGATACTTTTCTATGCTAAGGGGGGTGTTCCAACAAAGAGATATGCCGAGTAGCGTCGTTAATTTTAAAGGAATCCAAAAAGTTAACATCAACCGAAATTTATTCTCCGACAACAACTTAGAATATCAATTAATCGCAGGAATCAAAACGGCCAAAATCAACAATTTCCTCGACGTCACCGAAAATTGGTGGGGAACCAACGAAGAAGAAAACATAAAACACACAATCTTCGATTTCGATGATTGGAACAATCACGCCATCGCCAAATTTAAACCGTACCTAACCGATAATAATTTCGAGGCAAGTTTTTCAACAGCAATCGAATCCGAAAATCCCATAAACTTCGATTTCTTAGGTGGTAGATTAAACGAAAATTTAACGATTACTTTACGAGAAACCCCCTACACCATTAATTCCGACATAACGGTAATGCCAAAAACGACACTAACAATTAATCCTGGAGTTACGTTAGAATTCGCCCCAAATGTAGGAATTTTAGTTCTTGGGACATTAAAAGCGGAAGGTTTTAAAGGGGCAGAAATCACGTTAAAACCACTTCGCCGCACGGGAAATTTAAAACACAACATCGACAAGCGTCAATTAGAACATTTCGAAATGGGGAGTACAATAAGATTATGCCAAGGACAAGATTGCCATTTAAACTCCGAATTTAATAACGAAGGATTTTTAGAGTACTTCAACAAAACAACTTTGCAATGGATTCCGATGTGCGATCCAAGATTCACCGAAAGAAACGCGCAAGTTGTTTGTAGAGAACTCGGTTTCGATCATTTAAACGCATTTTTCGATCACGGAATTCGAATCGAATTTCATAGCAATTCCTTGTCGCGAATTTGGTCTTGGCCTCAACCTCTACAATGCAAAGGTACCGAGTCGAGATACGATGATTGCCCAATACGGTTAAACGGGCAACAATACGGGCATAGACACGAATGTAAATGGAACTCAAAATTCGTTTTTATTTATTGTGGCCAAAGAAATATGCACCCAGGATTAGAATATTGGGGAGGTGTTAGATTTGCAAATTCCGAATTCGAACAACATCTTTACGAACATAGAATTCATGATATAAACACTCACGAAACGGGACAAACCGAAGAATCAACGTTAAGATTCGTGAATATTATCGGAGCGGGGATTTTGCATAACGAAAAATCACCAGCCATTCAGAGTATTATTAAAAGTCCATCAATAAGTTATGTTAACGTTCAAAACTCGGCTTCGCACGGTATTAATTTAATATCGCCATCGAATACAATGAATTTAGTTTCGAATAAAGTTAATACTTCTTTGGGTGTTGGATTAAATATTTTATCGATAACCGGAGAAGGAAGGGAATCGGATGAAAGTAGTTTTGCCCCAATAAAAGACTTAAATATACCATATCATTTATTCGGATTGGTTGACATTTGCGATACAACAAAAGAAATTATCGTGGAAGAGCGCGTTTTGGTTTATTATAAATACGATAATCATCCTGTAAATTGCGTGAAAATCTTTAGGAGTGCCTATAACATAAAACCTTTCGGATTTAGATTGCTTCAGTTCAACCTTTTTAATTCAACGAATAAATACGGAATCCCCGATTTTATACAATTATACAATGGGGACATCTACAACGTTACTTCAACGGTAATTGGAAGATTAACCACAGATTCACAAGTTGAGAAAAAATTGTTTAAAACCCAATTACCGAGTCTTAGCATAAAGCTTTTCGCAAACGGTGCATCATCAAGTCATGGATTCATCGCTGAAGTTGTAACTTTACCTATTTCTGCAATTGGATTTAGTAAGTTTAAGTTTAAAATAAATTTTAATTGGGTTTAATCGTAATTGGAACTTGCTGTGTAGATCGAGATGTACAACACAACATCACTAACAGTATATTCCAGAATAATCGTGAAGGTGGGATGAGTTATATTTCGGCTGGAGAAGTTAATCCTATAATAACAGTTGATAAGAATCAATATAGAGGAAATTGCCAAAAATTGTATGGAAATTTTTCGACGTGCAAGTCCTCTATTGATATAGATGTTCAAAATACGCAAACTTTATACTTTAGGGTAAGTAAAAGATTTATTTCATTTACTTTAGTTATTACTAGAATTATTATTTACTATTATTGTTTTAATTATTTAGTTGGTTTTATTACTCAATGCGTTATTTGTGTTGCTAGCAAACAATTAGTAACTCGCTCAACTAAAAATTTTTTGGTCTCTCAAACAACTTAAACTCAACTAAAACATCTCATGCTTGTTCAAATAATAACATAAGAATTTCGACTTATATTTAAGTTATCCTCCTATGGCGCTACAGCCTCTCCATTCCTTCTTATCTAGAACGGATCTCTTCTAACAATCCAGGAATCAACTGCCATTAAAAAAGGGATAGTCTGAGCCCTGCGCTTTTTAATATCATTATGAACCAAATTATAAGTATTGTCAAGAACACTAATATATTTATGTTACAAAACGGTAAATTATAAAATACTGTCAAACTGAAAACAACCGGAGACCAATTTAATATGCAAATTTCTACCCAGAAAACATAATCAATAGTCATTTCCAAAGTCCCAGCAAGTTTATTATGCATATTATGACGGAACAAACACATGACGATAAAAAGCAAAGCAAAGATCTATAAAATCGGCGTAAACCAGTACGACCAAACAAAAATCGCGAGATGCGCGGGGTATAAGATATAGTTAGATCGATAAGATCGTGATATTGCAAAAAAATACAATCATTAGGCACTTATAATAGTCATTGAACGGTCATGTTACAGATTAGTTTTGTTACAGTTTAGGATATATTTTTCTTTTAATTTCACGTATGTACTCATCGTATAAAGTATCTATTTGTTCATCTTCATCCAATCCTTCAAGTTGTATTTTGTCGCCTTCCTGTTGTTTCTTGTATTACTGATATTGCAAGGATCATGATGTTCTTATCCTGACCAGTTTCAAGTTGTTCAAACTTGACTGTATTTAATAAGTCTTCATCACAAGAGTTCTTATAAAGTTCATTTCCTGAGCTCACCGTCTCTTCGCCGTAACAATTATGGCATAGATAAGTATCGTCATCATCAGGAATAAGAATTCGAAGAGATTTTGGAACGCATTTCTTATGAAACTATGTTTGTAATACTTATTTCTTCTCGTGCATTGCCTGAAATTTTTGCGATGATATTGAAAATGGTAGCCTTTCGGTGTTTCGTTTGCCTTTACGTTTCGATGTAATCGATAAGGTGAGATAATTGCCAAAGAAACCTGATTTGACCACATCGGGTTAATTAATTGATTTGACTAAACTCGTTGCGGTGTCCTCATCGCTGGACGAAAGTTGATCATTTGAGTTTGATATCAGAATTTGATACAATTGGAATATGATCATTTGCTTGTTCAGGGATCATATTTTCTGTATTCCAGTCGCTCTCAACACTCTCGATCGCATTTCCGTTGTTGTCAACCCTTTGTATTGCATTCCCGTCGTCCTCAACACTATATCTCATATCCTGATCATACATAACATTTGCATCCTTATGAAAAAATCGCCAAATTTTGTACAAGTGAAAAAACCACTTTCGCAATTTTATCGATAACTTCAAGCCTTTTTCTCTTCACCCAAAAGGGAGACAAATGTTGAATACTCGACCATAAATAGTGTGATCATTTGTGACGTTTCTTTCTTTGTCTAAACATTTTGTATAATCCACTGTATTGGAGTTAAACCGCATACTTTAAATCTGTTTATTAGTGTTTGCGGTTGTATAACCCCAATTGCAGCTTCCAAAATTGATGCAAATGTAATTTTGGTGATTACTTCACCTGGATGCATGTCATACCACTTTTGGTTTTCTTCCCTCCTTGCAATTTTAAGAGGCCTAAATACAGCCACATCTGCTGGTTGAGTTATTCTAGTTGCATTTGGATACAGAGCTACAAGTTCTATTTACAGTTTGTTACATACATAACAGACTTAATTCAAACATAACGTGTGACTTATGTCCATCATAGAAATGCATGGAATACATTCGCAACGTATTCATAAAATGTTTCCGCAGTCATATACCCGTTATCACTCATATCATGTTTCATCGCCATTAAATATTCTATTAGGATCTTTCAATACATTTTCTAAATTTCTCTCTTTTATGTATTCCTCTATCTCTTTAAACCATTTTCTTATATCGTTCTGTCTGACGTTTTAAAAATACTCTGAACCAACCGATACCTGGTTTGTTATTTGCAAAAGATTTTTTCCTTGGATTTTCTTTCAGAAAGTTCTGAACGCTCATTAATATATTCTCTTTATTCCTAGGAAAACCTCTATTAGCCATCTCCTTTATCTAATATACTAAACAAGTTTCCTCGTTTGCAGTTAAAACGCTGCAAAGCCCAAAACTCTTTTACAAAATGACTTGCAGTAGCAACGACGATGTTCAGATTAACTTAACATGTCAACTTTACGTCACATTTCAGTAACACCACAGCCATCTCATAGTTTAGATAACAATCTACCACCAACAATCGACTATGATACATAAACCTGCGCAAAGTTCTTGTTCTTAAAAAATAAATCTGGGCAGTCCAACAACTGTCCAACATTTGTATGGTTTACCCTATATGTCAGCAAAAAAGTATCTAATCAGCAGTTATAATTCTTTTCTGTATTTCCCCATCTTCTGTTCCGTCAGCCGTTACCTCCACGCTTAAATAGTTCAAATTAAACAGTTAATGTTATTTAAAGTCGCCATGAGTGAGGTTTGCTCTCTTTTGTTATCACTTTTATTTTATTCACGTTAATGTCAAGACCGATTATTTTCGCGCACTTTTTCAGATTGACATATGTTTATGTTTGGCTTGTTATCTTATCTATGTTTATCTTCTCCCGCTTGTTTTGTTCGGCTCATTACTATTTGTACGTCATCTCTTCTCACTGGTATATTTCTTATAACGTATTATAGAACTAAACTGAATAGAGTCAGTTTCAAACCTTGTAGCGATATGCTACTGTAGCGATATCCCGCGCTAGTTACATTACCTCAATTTATCCCTCCTTTTATATATTGGGCATATTATGTCTTTTTTTCCATTCATCTAGGATCACTTCTTGCTCCCATATTTTTACCAGTAAGTGTAGCTGACTGGATAGTTCGCGACTGCCGTATTTAAGAATTTCAGCAGGCATTCCACAAATTCCAAGAATCTTATTCTTCGTTTACCCTAGGGTTTCCGCGATTTCTTCTATTATAAGAGGGTTCACAATCAGGTCGTTTTCCGGTTGCTGCCTTTCAATTAGGTGTCCCTGTTTCAAATTTAAGCCTTGTTTCGTATTCAACAGATCTCTATTTAAAAAAAAGTTTCCAGGTGCTCTTAATTCTTCTTGTTTGCTTATTATTTGTCCCGAATCGTTTCTGCACTGGATAGTGTTTAGTTTGTATCCCTGTCTCAGTTGCTTAAAATATTTATACGCTTCCTCGTGTCATGCGCATCAAAATACTCTTTCATTTCAAGGATTGGGTTATTTTTCGTGTTTATCTTTTTTTTTAGATATTTATTTTGTCCATTCTTCTGCGGCTATCTTCTAAGATCCTTCTCCTTTCGCTCGATTTTTACAGACTCCTTTAGGTTGTTCCACTGTTCATTCATCTCAATTTCCTCCATTCCGCTCTAAAAGTCTATTAGAAATTCACCGTTTTCATGAACATTTACTCCAAATTCACTTGTTCCTTTTCACTATAGAAGATCGTGTGTGTCACACCGTTGCCTAGTCACCTTGCTTCGTGTATTGGTGTTATTGCGAGTTTATATTTATATGTATACCCTACGTTTAATAGACGCTTCATCCATAACTAATAGAAGATTGCAGCAACTCAAAATGAAGCTCCTCCTCATTGACATAATGGCGTGCGTCAGTATCTAAATGAAAACTCCTTCAGTGTTTGGTTGGGCCATGCGATCATCAAGATTTAATTTTGTTTGTCCTATAGTTTTCGTACCACCAATCCGAAAAACACTAAATGAACCTTGGCATTAGTGCTATTATTAATAGCATTATCGAAATAAACTGAGCCAAATTACACTGTTCTATAAGTTTCTGACATATATATTTTTAAATCTTTCTGATGCACATATCTAATATTTATGTAATTAAACCCATCTTAAAATTAAAATCTTAATATACCTGTTTATTTCTTTCAGAATAACTTAGTGGATTCCAACCAAGGTGGGCTCTCAATTAGAGCTGATTCGAGAGGTTCCGCAACCTCCCTAAAAGGTTACGTCCATAATAATCTCTTCGTGAACAACACAAACCGCCCAGCATTACATGTCGAAGGTCGACAATCGTCTCCGTATCAGGAAGTCACGATTTACAGGAACTACTTCACCAGGAATTATGCTCTGTACGAAAGCAACATCGTGTTAAAGCAGGTTGTTTCTAATTTTACGTGGAATTACGTTAAGAGAAACGTGGGACTTCACAATCTGGTCGTTTCGGGTTTCGATAAAGTTCGATTGCCGATTTACCAAACAACTACGCATAATGGTTTTTATGAGTAAGTACATATCTCGTAATATTGGTATTATTAATTAGGGATGAGAAAATTAGAGGTTTTATTAAGTTACCATTATTATTTGGGTTCGTAATTTATTTACATTTTAGTAATTTCGCTGTTTTACGTGAGAGCCGCTCAACTATTGTCGCTGGAACTGCTGGCCAACACTACGTTGACAACATTTTCTTCAATCCCGACAATGATTACGAAATGATCACAGTCAATAAATCACTGTAAGTATAATTCCAAAAACTTTATTATTATATTAGTCAATTATAAAAACGTAGATTTTGTTTAATAAAATTTTGTTTTAAATAGACACTTTTTAAAATAGAAAAAATAGAAATATAGCTTGGCAAATCTATCTTAGCCTGTGGCGGTCAGATGCGCGGTAGCAAACAACATAAAATGTAAGGTAACAATCCTTTCTAAATTCTCATAAAGTAGACTTCGCAGTATAGTAATTATAAAGAATTAAAAAAAGCATATTGATTGCTGCAACCAGACTTTATACTACACATAAGGAGAGCCTGAGATCGTAGATTTCAGTGAATTTACAAGAATATCTAATATGTTATTTGCAAATAGTAGTTCACAAATAAGATGAGCTTGTTGATAGTAAATAAAGTCAATCAATTAGAAGAGTTGTTGTTAGTGGGAGAACCGACAAGTTGATAATAAATGCTTACAGATTGATTAATTAGTATCATTCCACTAAAGTATCGTGTCTCAAGAATCATTTGAGATGTAATGATAAAATTAACAGCCTTTTAATGCAAAGTTAATATGGATCCAAAGCGCCATAAATAATTTCTTAATTTTCCATAATTACCGTATTTTCTCGAATCTTATCCGCACTCGAATCTAATCCGCACCCCGATTTAAAAAATGCATAGTGGTAAAAAAATTTAGTTTGCGAATGTAATCCGCATCTTTCTTTGAGTAATTCGACAACACCAAAACGATGCGATGCTTGTTGTTAACCATAAATATATATTTTTTCTGTTGACTGACGCTGATGTACCTAAAGAAACCTTGCTTACGACTAGTTTTTATTAGACTAGACTTTAAATTTACCAAGCCAGAAAAAATTGGAAAATAAATATAATTTTACAAATAAATAGTAATGCCTAGCACGAATTCCGTTCATATACTGCCCTCGTAGTAGCTCGAACGTGGTGTGTGCTTAATTATACATATAATAGCGTAATTATAAAAAAAAAGTAGCAAAAATCTAAAAGGTTCTTCTATACAGCAAAGTTTAAAGAGATGTTATTAAGTTAGCGTTAAGGAAACCGAAAAGCTGGTACAATTTTTGCTGTTAATGAGAGTAACGTTGCGGCTGTTGCGGAAAGACAAGGTAGCTATTACAGATTGTGAGGCATCGTGCAAAAAATTTACCGGGCCAAAAAAGAGATGATTTCATGAAATTCACGAGGCAGTTTTCTAGTTCTCTCAAGAAAAACGAAAGGAGGGACTAAAAAATTTTTAATACTAGCTAAGGTTGAACTGTGGGATTTATGCGCCGAATGGTGTTATCGTTGAGGCACAGAACTACAATTTCCCAAAAGCTCCTAATGATTCTCAAGAAAATTTCAATTTGTCTCAAACTGTAAATGTCAACGAAATGGTAACATATCTGGATATGCCACCCAATTACACACTGGAAAGAAGAGGTGTGTGGGAAATTTCTTTATAAACGAGTGGTTCCGAAAAATTGCGCATAACGTTGATGCTAGCAGTAACAAGTGATAGGGAAAAATTGCCGACATTATTAATATTGAGAAAAAAACCATTCTGAAATCTGAAAGACTTCCTGAATGACGTCCTAGTTAGGGCACAACAAAAAGGATGGATAATGGAAAAGTTGATGATGGAATGATTAAGACAAGTGTGGAGTCTTAGACCAGGAGGATTATTAAATAAGGATATTAATTAATCATAGACTGATTGCCCTTGGTTTAGACTTCTTGTCATAATAATAATACCTGGTGGAATAACATCCATACTACAACCTGTGTATGTATATGTATATTAACAAACTCGAGAATTAACAAAACCGGGAGCAATTAAAGGAGGGAAAACGATCCCTGAAAACAATATTATAACATCATTTAAGAAGTTTTGTATAATCCGAAGATGACGTAGTATGGGAAGAAAATGACACATAAAAATGTAAATATCGTTCTAAAACCCTTAATAAGTCTTATTGTTATAATGTGATTTTATTTTACTATTTTCCAAATTACAACTATACGACAGCGAATCTAATCCGCACCCGATTGTAATCCGCATTTGATTTTAGAGCACATAAAATTTGCAAAAAAGGTGCGGATTACATTCGAGAAAATACGGTATAACCTACTCGGCATATATGATTATTGCAGATTTTAAGAATATAAATTTAATATATTATGTCATATATTGTGTCTCAAGAAGTCAAAAATTTGGAAACTTTTTGCAGAATTAAAACGCTATCAAAATACACTCAGTAAAGGCCTTTGGAATCAATTTTAGCAAAATATGACAATCTCCGCATTCCAGGGGGATAATGGTACTTGAGAGTACCGCCAGGCATTAAAATATATTCTAGTGATGTTGCAGTATACAAAAACTTTTATTGCTAATATAAAAATAATACATTTTTTATTACATTAGAAAATAAGAAACACTTGCTTTAGCTAAATCACATTATAATATTCAGAAAAACAGTTCTTTCTTTCATTACAACATAAATAAACATTGCACGCAGTGCACTTTGAGTGAGGTCTGGACTGAATAGCTTTGGCAGAACAATTTTCACATCAAAACTAATCCAGTGGGAACCACGGTTCCCAAGTCTTACATCGTCAGTAACAGAATAGCCATACTTTCGTCTTTTGGGTAACTGGGTTGGTGAACTTGCGCTACGACATTTTTGTGGACGCAGAAAATTTGTATATTTATTTATCATAGCTGTAGCTACATAGCTACAGAACGACGAAAATCTAATAGGGCCATTTTTTCCTCTTCACATTCAGAATATATGACGAAAGAATTGACGAAACATATATCTTTAAAACCAAATAAAAGCCTGTGCCATCACTTTTTGGAACGGCGATCGATTGCATACACTTGTTGAAGTTGATCGGCATGATCTACCAAACCCATGTTTTTATTGTAATCATCAACGACTGAAAGACAGCGCATATCAATTTTCGTTCCATTTTTTGCTTCCTTTTTACGGTGGTCTCTTCTGTTCCTTGAAAATTTGAGCCAAATTTCACGCACTTACTGTCCTTCCATTTGTATTAACTTGGATTGAATTGTTTCATACTTGACCTTCTTTTGAACATTATCCTAGTGCAGCGTTTCTCAACCTGTGGGGCGAACCCCCCTAGGGGGGCGTCATAATTCTACATGGGGGGCGCCAACACATCAAAATGAAAAAAAAAAGATAATTACTAATAAAAAATTAAGTAAGTACAGTACACGTTTAAACTAATACACTCGTACTATTACCTAGGTATTTAATTACTATAAATATAATTGTATCAGAAGGTACTGTCAAATGCCAAATGAAACTAATAATAGACTCATCAGTACTAAATTAAAAGTAACTGTAATAATTATAATTATTAGTGACTCCCTTGGGCCTGTCTCGCACAGCAAAGTTTTTCAAAAGAAGGTTTTATATTACAAATAGCCACTCTCAGTTCTTTGGTCTATATTCAGTCGAGACCTATATTTTGTCTTTAAAGCAGCCACCGCAGAAAATCCGGCTTCACAAAGGTAGGATGTTGAAAATGGTAATAATATACGAAATGCTCTTGTTTTCAGTGGAGAAAATTCATCATCCAATCCAGTCCAAAATTCAAGAGAGATTTATTACTAAATTCTCTCTATTACTAAATTTCGCCGCTTGCAGTAAAGTCTATGAAGATTTCTTCTTCTGCAGTTGAGAGAATAGTTCGAAATGAATCCCTAACCCACTTGTAAGTTGCTACCATTTTGTCGTCAGCAAGAAAATACTTTTTAAAATTCTGTGCCAACATGGCTAAATGACTTTCTATTGTTACAAAAACAACTTTCACATACTGTTCTTCTTCCTTGTATGTTTTGACACACTCATTCACATTTGCAAACATTTCTAGTTTTTTTTGTTTTACATTTCTGCTCCACAGCTCCAAATTTCTACAGAAAGTACTAACTTTATCACTGCTATCCAACATATGTGTGTTTGCTCCTTGGAGTTGTAGATTCAGGGTATTTAATTTCTCGAATATGTAACCAATTTCATCACAAATAAAGCATCTCGAAACTTTTTGGCTTCCAGGCGGTTTTCCTCTTCTAGAAAAGTGGCAATTTCCTCTTTTAACTCATAAACACGTTGTAGAAATTTCCCACGCGATGGCCTCACAATAAAATAGCAACGTCGAATGTTCTGCACCCATATCTTTGCAAAGTGCATTAAAGATTCTTGATTTTACGGGTCTCATTTTTATATAAGTTACTACAGTTACAACCGTCGTTAGTAACTTGTTGAGACCAGGACTCATTTCTTTGGAAACCAGAGCCTTTCTATTGATGGTCGGTGTCCAGACACATTGCGGAAATTTTTGTTTCACAAGTGCTTGTACGCTTTGGAATCTTCCAGATATTGTACAAGCACCATCGGTGCATATTCCAACGCAATTCTTCCACTCTATGTTTGCCTCATTAATAAAATCAATTAAAATATCAAACAAAGCGAGTGCTGTTGCTTTGAGTTCTATAGGTTTGCAGAAAAGTAGTTCTTCTAGTGCCGATATGCGATCACAAAACCAGACATCGGCAATTAAATGAGCGTCTTCATTGCTATCTGTTGCGTCGTCAAGCTGAATCGAAAACAATTTGTCATAAAACTTTTCGAGAAGCTGGTGCTGTACATCTTCGGCTATATCACCAATTCGGCGGGCAACAGTATCATTTGAAAGAGGTATGGATTGTAATTGTTTGGCAAAATTATCTCCAAACATAGTTTCTACAATCTCCATCGCAACTGGCAGAATAAGGTCTTCACCAATGGTGTGAGCCTTTTTATATCTGGCTATTTTATATGATACTTTGTAAGAGGCAAGTAAAACTTTTGCGTTCACAAACAAAGTTTTTTTGAAGAATGATGTTTGCTCTTCATATGACTAATTTTAATTCAAAGAATTCTCGGGGCTTGTTAACGTACTCACTATGAAGTGTTTCCAAATGGCGTCTAAGTTTATTAGGTTTCATGCTGTCTGCTGCCAAAATTTTTGAACAAATGACGCAAAAGAAAGGTAGGGGGCGCCATAAATATTGTTATTGAAAATTGGGGCCCGAATACTGAAACGTTGAGAAACGCTGTCCTAGTGCCATGATAACAACTGGAGAACTAACGGTTAAGTGTTTCAAAATACGGACGGATCTTGTATAGTTAGTCCGTATTGTTCTTAGGAATAATGCTGTTATCGTTGACATGCAGATATGATAAAGTTTCCTGAAACCTGTTACATTGTTCGAATGACAAGTGGTACACCTAAGTCTTCAGCATTACTCCAGAATAGTTTATAGCTTGGCAAACTGTGATAACTCATTACAAATTTATGCCAAGGAAACATAGCAACTCTTCTTTCTTCAAATTTAGCGTTTTAGTCATTTGGGTGGCGTACAAATTATACTTTAAAAGGTAATATCTTTCACACAGTTACCCATCAGTGTTAGAAGATAATCTGTAGGATTATTGCCAGTTGCAAAAGTATTACCCATTATATTATACCTTCTAGATAATCGTATTCTGGAATGTCAGTCTGTTTTTCCCGTTTCTCCATTTTCTAGCAATTTCAGTGTCACTTTCCTCATTTTGATTAGTTAGTTGTTCCACTTCATCTTGCAGCATAGGTACATTACTAGTACTAGTAATAACAATGTCATCTTCTTCATTTTCTATGTTTGTCTATTCAGAATTATCCAACGGGAGATTATCTATGTATGTAGTTTCATGTGAGGTTGGTTAAACCACAGGTGGTATAACCAAAGCACTTAGGCTACAAATAAAAGCACCCTCCATTGAAAGCAGAACTATTAACCTCAAAACAGAAACTAAATACCTAGGGGTAATACTTGACAGTAAACTAAACTGGAACTCACACTTAGATAAGGTGAGGAAAAAGGCCATCATGGCAAACCAGATCTGCCGCAGGCTCCTAGGAAGGAACTGGGGTCTCAAACCACGAATGGCTCATTGGGCCTACGTAGCAATAATCAGACCCATGGTCGCCTACGCCTCATTGGTTTGGTGGCCAAAAACAAAACATAAGACAGCTCAACAACAGCTGGCACAAATCCAGCGGTTAGCATGTCTTAACATAACGGGTGCAATGAGATCCTGTCCGACGGCTGCTTTGGAAGCCCTACTCGGTCTCACACCGCTCCACATATATATACAAAAGGAGGCAGCCTTAAGTGCCTTATCACTGAAAACAGTTTCTTCACTCAAGTTGATGCAGGGTAATCTCAGAGGACACCTCGAGATCCTCAAAGACCCATGTCTAAATCACCTGATTGAAATTAAAACGGACCTTATACCGACGGAATACAATTTCAACCAACCGTATAAGGTCATATTTAGTAGCAGGGATGATTGGGCGAAAGGAGGGCCTCAACTAAAAAGAGGAGCCCTAGCCTGGTACACCGATGCTTCAAAGACAGTAAGATCTGGAGTAGGCATGGGCATCAGTGGACCAAATAGCCACATCAAATTGCCCCTCAGCTCGGACTTAACAATTTTCCAAGCAGAAGTTCTTGCTATAAACTTCTGCACCGCTTTGAACCTACAGAAGGGACAAAAAGGTGCATCCATAAACATTTTCACAGACAGTCGGGCCGCCTTAAAGGCAATTCAGGCCTACACGTGTGGCTCCGCACTGATCAGAGAGTGCACCAACAACCTGAGAGAACTCGCTAGGGGCAATGATGTTACCCTATGGTGGGTTCCAGGTCACAGCAACATTGAGGGCAATGAGAAGGCCGACAAGCTGGCCAAAGAGGCAGCAAACACGCCCTTCATTGGACCCCAACCTGGATGTGGACTACAAAAAAGCCACCTAAAACAAATAATCAACAACTGGGAGGCTTCAAAGATAGCCTTACGCTGGAAAGAACTTCCAGGTCACAGACAAGCGAAGAGTATGATAACTCCGTCGCAAAACAAAACCAAAGAGGTTTTATGCCTCAGCAAAGGGGATCTAAGAACGCTCTCAGGCTACCTAACCGGCCATGTGCCCCTAAAATACCACCTCTTCCACATTGGACAAGCTGAGGATCAAACTTGTCGACTATGCAACGACGAGTCAGAAACTGCTGAACATATACTGTGCAATTGCGTCGCCAGAGGACGTCTAAGGCACAACGTCTTCGGTAAAACTCCCCTGTTACCTACCGACATAAAGGTTCAAGACCTCAGGACAATACTAAGGTTTATTAAGGACCTACATTTGCCCTAAACCTTTGGAGGGCTAAAGTTACAATAGATCTTATAGGTCGCGGTAACGAGAGGGGCCGCCCTCCTCAGCCCGGCAGCAATAATAATAATAATAATAATAATAATAAAGCACTTAGGCCCCAACGGTCCCTTTGTACATCCTCACGGTTTTATTTCGGCCATGTGTAGAAACTTGGGTGCATGGCTGAGTACCGCTCAAAGAGCGCAGACGCGCTTTCAACCCGTTTTTACGTTCACAACCTCCAACTACACAATGTGTAGTAACATCTCTGGTTGTCGTCAGATACATGTCATGTATCTGACGACAACCAGAGATGTTAGACTGGTTGCCGGGACCGACGGCTTAACGTCCCCTCCGAAGGACGGGGAGGCGACTCGGCGTGTATTCACTGGGAATCGAATCCAGGACGCCGGCGTGGTAGCCCGAGAGCTTACCACGGGGCCATTCGCCCCCCGGGAGATTATCTAATTCAACACACACTTTTTCAGCCTCAACCAAAAGTTCTTCATTAGTCAAAGCTTTGTTCAAGTACCAAAACGTATGTGTATTCGCTTGGCTCATTTTTCATCAATCTCAATATTGTACCTGTTATTATTTTGACGGTACTTTTATGTTTGTAACTTTTCACAAAATGTAACTTGTTTTGGGATAAAAATAAGAAATGTTTGAACATTTCAATTGCAATACACGAAGCTGCTTACAAATGACACCTAATAACCATTTATCAAAGAGATACCTTTTTCAACAACAAAATTCAGTAACACCAATTTTCACTAAACTTCTAACCTCACATCTGGATGAATAAGTTTAAATATACATAAAAACCCTACAGTGCGAATTGCGTCAATTTCTATGCAGGTTCTTTCTTGTATAGTAGAAAGTACCGACAGCTCTAAATGCAACGAATAGATGACTACAGATTAAAATGTGTGTTTAAAACTGCCGGTACTTTGACTAACTACCGCAAATTTTATAAATATCCAATGTCCATAATCATCGTTGTTATGATTTTTTAAATCCAACTCTGCATGTTTGATTTCTATAGAAATGAAATATAAATTTAAAAAATGGTATCTGAAGAACGAATTGAGATATCATCATGAAATAAAGAACATTTTAAAGCAGCCATGTCCAACTGGCGGCACACGGGCCGCCTGCGGCCCGATTGCGATTTTTGTGCGGCCCGATAACAAAAAAAGGAAATCGCACAAATTAATATTTAAATTTTAATAATCGATAATACAAATAATTTTTATTACTTGGTCGAATGACGTTTTATAAAACTCCTATATCTTAATATATAAAAATGGAATCTTGTATGTATGTGGGTACCTATATACCGATTTTACTCAGTTATTCCTTGGCCGAATTTCACCAAATTTGGTAAACACATAGCTTAATATATTGGGAAGAACCTTTCATCTTAATTTTTTTGACACCGCCGCCGAGGTGTCGGCAATGACGATGTTAAAAAAATAATTTGCACAATAGCGAATCCCGATGTATGGCGTTTACGAATACAGTAAATACCCCGACCTACGTAAACCCGACTTACGTAGATTCGGAGATACGTAACTGCGAATTTGTCCGTTTTGTCGGGTATTCCCCTGTTTCGCTCAAAAGTGGATTGAATCATAAAATTTTCTAGTCCCTTCAGTTTATGCGAGTTCTTCGTAGAGAGTTGATTAATCACAGAGTTGATAAACTTATTGTTTTAAAAAGGTTGTGAAAATAAAAGTAAGTAATATTTTATTTTAATTTGCAGTCCTACAAAAATTTATTCGTTTCTTTAATTATACCAGAATAAATAAAATTGTCCATAATATTGACGTGCGATGTCGGGTAGGAAGAAAAGAAAACTAGAAGATGAAAACAGACAATTTAAAAATAATTGGGAAGATGACTACTTTTTCTTGCAAGTAAAAAATAATGCTGTGTGCTTAGTTTGTCGTGAAACGATTACTGCTAAAACTTATAACATACGAAGACATTATGAAAAACATACGGAACTTTCTGTACTTTCTGGTGGTGAACGCAAGGCCAAATTACACTTACTTAAAGCTAACTTAAAGTCTCAACAAAATGTGTTTCAAAAACAAAATCAACAATCAAACGACATTGTCAGTACAAGTTTAAAAATTTCTCAAATTATTGCTAAAAAAATGAAACCTTTCTCGGATGGAGAATACATCAAAGAATGTTTAATTGCTGCAGCTGAAGATATTAGCCCGGAAAAAGTTCATATTTATAAACAAATAAGTCTGTCTCATCAAACTGTTGCACGTAGAGTTGATGATATTTCCAATGAAATTTCCCTAAACCTCAATGAACATACCAAACAATTTGTGTACTACTCATTAGCTTTGGATGAAACAACCGATATCAAGGATACATCACAACTTGCTATATTTATTCGCGGAGTTGATAATAAGCTGAAAGTAACAGAAGAACTCCTTGATCTTGTGAGTCTGAAGGATACAACAACGGGCAAAGATATTAAAGATGCTGTTCTAAAATGCGCGGAAGATCGACAATTAGATTTAAAAAAACTTATTGGTATTACAACCGATGGAGCACCATCAATGATAGGAAAAAACATAGGAGCAGTTACTTTAATTTGCAAACATATTGAAAGCTTGGGACAAAATACATCATTTTTGGATTTATTTATTTGTCATTGTTTTTTACATATAGAAAATCTATGTGCTCAGTCATTAAATATGTCTCACGTGATGTCAGTTGTCATTAATATTATTAACAAAATAAAAAATAATTCATTAAAACACCGCCAGTTTCAAGAATACCTTCGCGAACTGGAGTCCGAGTACTGTGACCTAATATATTACGCCAAAATACGATGGTTGAGTCGTGGAAAATGTTTATTAAGATTTTGGAACCTCAGGGAAGAAATTAGAATTTTCATGAATGAGAACGGCGAAGACGTTCCACAATTATACGATGAAAAATGGTTGTTGGATTTGTGTTTCTTAATAGATATCACAACTAAATTAAATGAACTAAATCAGAATCTTCAAGGAGAAAATAAATTAATTACGAATTGCTATCAAGACATAAAGACATTCATTGCTAAATTAAAATATTTTCAAAATCAACTGAAATCGAATAATGCCACACATTTCCCTCACTTAAATGATTTCGAAATGGAAAATAAACCCATTTCCGAATATTCGCATAATATTAAAGATTTGCTTGAGGAATTTGAAAAAAGATTTGCCTACCTAGAAAAATTTGAACAAATGTTCAATATTTTTAATTGTCCATTTAATATTGATGTGAATTCAGCTCCAGGTTATTTACAACTGGAACTTATCGATCTGCAGTCCAACTCAGAAATGAAATTAAGGTTTGAGGACATCAATATAGTCGACTTTTATGGAAAATATATCCAGGAAGATAAATTTCCTAATTTGAAAAAATTAGCTATGTGTATTGTGGCAGCAAACGGCACAACATATCTCTGTGAGTCATTTTTTTCTAGATTAAAATTAGTCAAAACCAAAGACCGTAACAGGCTCACCGACGCAAATTTGACGAATCAGTTACGTTGTGCCACAACAAAATTAGAAGTTGATATTAAAAAAATTTCAAATAAAATAAATAAACAAGTTTCACATTAAATATCTGTTGTAATTTACTGAAATACCTATATATTATTGTGTATATCTGTGTACATGCTAGTTTGTGTATACGTATCTCATTTGAGCGCGAGTGTGCGCTAGAATTGAAATTTTCTTGTTCAGGTGGGTGGCGGCCCAGTGCCTTGTACATTCCTAAATTTTGGCCCGAAGAGTAATTTGGGTTGGACATGGCTGATTTAAAGCAAATTTGATAAATATTCAATATGCCATAGATGATTTCTTATTTTCCATAATCATCATTGTTATGACTTTTTCCGCATGTTTGATTATCGTAGATATGAATTGTTAATTTTAGAAAATCGTATCTCAAGAACGAGTTTAGTTGCTATTTAATATTTTGAAGATGGGTTTTTCAAATTTATTGTCGCAGTCCTTCTGCGCAACTGACCTGCCAAGATAAATTTGCCTAGTTGTAGATACAATTTTTATTGAACTAATTCAAACTTATTTTTTCTATGTTGCATGGTGCATGAAAACAGATTTGAGTTTAACAGGTAAGATTTAAGCGATTTTTGCACTGGATATAGCTTACGCAATCTTTTATCCAATTTATTGTTAATTTTCGTCATTTTTTGTGATGTATTGTTTTTTTTGTAACATTAAATATGCTTCTTTTTGTAAGGAATTGTTACTGTTTTAATTTAATTTATAATTTAATTACAATTATTTTTGTAGTACTTTGGAACTGTGGAAAACCAAGATTGACGCGAGATACAACTTTTGGGGATTCAACACCACTCCAGCTGTAACTGGAAGAATCAAAGATTATTCTGATGATGCGAGATTATTGGAAGTGGACTACATTCCTTTTCACTTCAACAACAAATCTATATTAAACGGGAAATGTCCACCAGGTTGGGAGTTAGTCGGTGATACTTGTTACACTTATATTGGTGCACCAATGAACTTTTACGAGGCGAGAGATTTCTGCCAAAAAGATAACGCCACGATGCCTTATCTAATTGGAAACACCAATTATTACATTTTGTATGATTTCCTAAGAAAACAGCAGCAATGGTTTTTGTATTCCGATAAAGTTTGGGTGCAACACATCGATCGCATAAATCAATGCACTCAATTTGCTTACCATACAATCGAATTGGGAGATTGTTTCGAACGAAATCCGTTTATTTGCGAAATCGATCCTAAAGTTTTTATCCAGCCATTAGTATGGCAGGGAGATGCTTTATTAATAGCGATAATTTGCACGATCGCTGGTTGTATTTTATTATTAATACTCGTAGCCGTTTGTTGGTGGAGCAAATCTAAGTATCGCCAAACTCAGCGGTTTGAAAGAAGAAGCAGTATTAGAAGAAGTTTGCAATCTTTGAAATCGGTTGGAACTGTTAATGGATTTTCAGATCCTGGGTATAGAAGAAGAATGGGACAATTAGTAAGTTATAATTATTTATTAAAAATTCCGTTAATTTTCTTTTTATTTTAGAGTACAAGATCAACAGATACCTTAACAAAAAATTCTGATTACAAAAAAATGATAAGCGAAGGATCAATAGACAGCATGGAGAAATCCGCTTATACTTCAACAATTGATGATAATCAATCTTACGAAATCTACGCAGCTCACAACCCAAACACTTCCTTTAATCAAGTGTATAAACCCGAAACTAACCAATACGCTCAACCCCAATTTAATTTAGCCTTCAAAAACGAAGGTTTTAAAGATAACTCTACGTTTGCGAGTAACTCAAATTATCAATCGCGAGCTGAAAGCGTCCAAGATGGAAACACAAACGAGGAAACTCCGATTATTCACTCACAAGATCCCCAAACTATGTCGTATCCACCGAGTGAATATTACACAACGGATACGCTTCCTTTAAGTGACTCATCAGGATCGAGTTTGAAGAACAGAAAAAATGATTCAAATATATACACCCAACCGAAAATCAACTATTTGGAAGAATTAAATAAGAAGTTACCGAAACAAAGGGAAAAATTGCCGGATCCTCCACCTGATAATCAAGATCACGAACATCATTATGCAAGGAGCTCGAGTTATTCACCAGATTTGCAAGGTTTTGAAGAGAAGAAAACGAAAAATCGATCGAAATCGGAAGCTTTGTTAGAAACCGATTTTGATTACTATGAGCCAGATGAATTGATCCAAAATCATCCTATAAGTAAATCGAGTAGGAGTAAGAGTCAACCTTTAGAAACAGCCATGTGAACTTCAACACAAAATATCAAAATTAAATATCATATTTTTTTAAATAAAAGAAAACTATATGGAAGAAGAAAATAGTGCTTTATGTAAATATGTGATAATTACGTTTTTTTAATGGACTGTATAAAGAGTTTAATAAAAAAATGTGATACTAGTTTAACTCGACATAAAAAAATAACTAGACCTATAATGCTACAATGAACAACTTATTTTAAATAAATCTTAATTTTAATCTTTTTTTACCGTACTTTTTATTGTGTTCTATGTATTAATTTTACCAAATTTTAGATAAGTTTTTTATGTTATTTATTAATTACTTTTTCTTAATAAAAATATTACACTAAATAATTTTAAAAAAATAAAAAAGAACCGTCCACTTATGTAAATGATAAGCCTTGAATGACTGCCTTAAAATTGTAATTAGATTTTAAGATTTTGACTTACCCTGTGTACACATATAGCCCTTTAAATTAGAAAACCGATTTTTTTATAAATACGTAAAATTAGTTGCATTTTTTTTGTAGTTAAATTCGAGATCTCATCGAAATAATGTACCAATAAAAACTTATCATATAATTTTTGTTTTATTTCAAAAATTGATAATGAAAGCTTTTTAGGTAAATTTATAGTCATTAATTTGTTCTTGAGATACGATTTTTTTAAATTTATATTTCATGTCTATAACAATGAAACGTGCAGAGTTGTATTTAAAAAATCATAACAACGATTTTTATGGGAAATAAGAAATCATTTATACCACATTAAATCTTTATCAAATTTGCTTTAAAATGTTCTTTATTTCAAGATAATAATAATAATGTTTATTAATCGGATAAGATATAATATATGTACAAATAGAAAAAATTATAAAAAGGCAGTTCCGATTAAAGAGGGTCATGTGACCAAGGCCCCTTTGTCGCACTGTTTTTCAATGACCCTCAGCAAAATAATAAGACAAAAATTGAAAAATAAAATTTAAATGAAATCAAGCCGATTATAAGCGCAAAAAAAAATTAACAAACTTAAAATACACAATAAGAAGCATACTTATATATAACAAGCATACATATATAAATCTCAATCTCCCCCCCGGCTATGAAACCATATCAAAATAAACAAAGAAGAAGAGTGCTCAGTCAACCTGCCGCTCACTTAAACAAGCCCTAACCCTTGCCTTAAAGGAAATCAGAGAAAGACTCTTGAAGGAATCAGGTAGCCAATTGTATAAGTTAGGCATACAATACGTAAAGCTGCGTTTGAAAATTTCTAAGCGGTGGTGAGGTATCGTTAGCGTATGTTTTTGCCTAATATTAATATTATGGATATCTGTGCGAAATCTAATTTTATCATAAAGGTAAGGCGAATTTAATTGAATTTAATTTTTTAAGATAATTTTGTGGTAGAGACATAAGCAATGAAGAGTCCTTCGCCGTGTCATGCTCAACCAACCAGCCCGTGCCAGCGTATGTGATATGCGCTCCCTTCTACGGATACCATATATAAATCGCAGACAAGAGTTTTGTAACTTTTGAATTTTAGCAGTGTGAACGCTGTCAAGGCAGGAGTGATATATTACGTCACCGTAATTGAAGATGGACAACACCAAGGTATCACACAGATGCGTTCTAAGGTTCTGGTTCAAAATGTATCTGTTGTTGTAAAGCAACCTTAATGTAGAGTAAGCTCGCCGTAGAAGGGACCGAACATGCCCATTAAAGCGAAGGCGCTCATCGAAACATATACCCAAATTTTTTACATTTTCCCCAAAGCTAAGACGACTTCCACCCATCACCAATTGCAAGTTAGTTTTTACAAACTCGAATGAAGCTCTATCCCCAAAAACCATAACCGATGACTTACTAGAATTAATCCGTAGACAAAGCTTGCCAGCAAGTTCTTCGACCTTAACTAAGTCATGATTAATTTTGCTTTCAGCGTCTTCCATATCACACAGTTTAAAGGAGTAGAGCAGTTGAGTATCATCAGCATAAAAGTATGGCAGTGATCCAAAACATTAGCGAACCCAATTGTAGATATCAGATATAACAGAGGACCCAAAATAGAGCCCTGTGGGACACCCGATATAACATCTGCGGTATTGGAGGTACCACCATTAAGTTTAACCAACTGCTTTCGTCCAGACAAATAACTTTGTACTAAATGAATCGAACCTAAAGATAAACCTATATAATGGAGCGCAACCACTAAAGTATCATGATGTATTCTATCAAAAGCCTTAGAAAAATCCAAAAGTGTTAAGATAGTAACCCGTTTGTCGTCAATTGCTTTGAAGATTTCATCCGTCACACCCAGAAGCGCAGTAGCGCTACTAAATCCCGGACGAAACCCAGACTGGCAACTGGGCAACACATTATAATCATCAAGATGACAGCGAAGTCTGACCGCTATGACCCTCTCACAAACCTTGAATCCTCATGAATATATCATGAGGATTTTGGGTTTTTGGAATTGGAGTTACCAAAATTGAGAATTGGGAATTGGGCGATCTTCCAAATATCAGGGAACACAGAACATTCAATGGAATAGTTAATTATATGGCACAAGAAGGGCAAAATTGTAGGACAACACATTAAAAGCATTTTAACACTTATGCCATCCATACCAACAAAGTTTGATTTGATACCACATAGAATATTGAAAATTTCAGTTTCATTTGTAAGAGCAAATGTTAGTTTTTCTGTAACTTGTGGAAGTATGTTATTGCAATAAAAGTTAATCAACTCAGCACTTCCCGTTGAATTAGTTTGAGTGCTGAGAAGGAAATTATTAACAGTATCAGCATCAAAACCAGTATCAGTCAATACTTGAGTCTTATTTTTGACAACACCCAATTTCCTAAAACTCATCCAAAGATCACAAGATCGCTCCTGAAACAGTGTGTTTAAAAACGCCCGTTTTTCTCTCAGAATGGCCGAGTTAGTGTAATTACGTAGTTGTTTATAATACTGGAAGTGATTGGGACACCTGCTCTGGCGGAATCTACTATAAGCCTGATCACGAAATCTTATAAGTATAATGTCCTGAAATTGGAGTATTCGGCACCAGGGTACTGACAGCAAATCCGCAGAAAACATTAAGGTGTTTGAAATCACGAAATGTAAGTTTCGGGCATACATTTTTTAATGTTCCATGCATCCCGAGATCAACGAACACCAAATTATGATCTGCAATATTATGAATAGGTTGAACACCACTATTTTCAACAACTGCATCCTCAAAAACTATAACATGATCTATTAATGTAGCGGAACTATGGGTTATTCTTGTCGGGTCGGTTATAATTTGACGAAGATTAAACTGCTCAATCAATGAAATAAATCGCGATGATTGGACACCATCCAGAGTTAGTAAATTAACATTAAAATCTAAAAGACAAACAAAAGAATCCGATTGAACAGCAAACGAAGACAGGGCAGATTGAAACTCTGAAAGAAACGACCAAAAAGAGCAATCAGGCGGTCTATAGGCCACCCCCACGACCGTAGACAATCCATTCGCTCGCACCTCCACCCACAAACTCTCCAAATGAGGTGTAATGTCACTAAGCAAAAAATCGCAACTTAAATCATTTTTAACATCTTTTGAATTTTTAGGAAACCATAAAGATAAGAATTGTTCTGAAATAATTTCCAACTTATTGCACAATCACCCAATGCAAATATGTCGCTCAAAATCCTCAAATTTGCTCCGTTCGTACTTAAATTTTTTTGGAGCGGAAAGTGACGAACAAGGCGGGCGATTCCATCAAGATTTAATGACATTGGATAGACGTTATCCAGGTTACTGCGACGCAGGGATGGTGGTAGATTATCTCTAGAGTGTCATCAAAAAACCGACCCAAAGACATACAAGAAATTGTCAAAAACTAATCATATACTACTACAATAAGTAAAGTACTTGAAATTTTGCACGATTCTCGTAAATTAACGATCTCTCCGATAAAATACGTTTTACCATGGCGCCAATGTATCGATATGTAGAGAGTTAAATATTCTACAGGATAGAATAGCTAACTTCTTTGTTTATATATATATATTTTTGTTACGGTGCGATAAAGTGTAAAAAGAATTGGGAAAAATACTAAGAAAACTGATTTTGTTGAGTTGTTTTAGGCTGTATCAAAGTAACGAAGGATCCGATTAATACCATCAATACCTCAAAATGTTCGTCTGGCTCTCTACGGAGTAATTAATACTTATCGCACCCACACCGATGCGTTACTATACTTCTCTCTGTATCAGTACTTCACGGAGTTTACATTGGCAACCATCCATATCCCCATGAACTTCGAAATTCAACTCCCTTCACCACTTCGCAATAACTGAGTAACGCAGGAGCAACACTCACCTAATGATTCACAAACAGCGGGTAAGCGTCTCGTCCATAAAGACAGTTCTTATTCTACATATCTTTCAGAGGTCTCAATGTTTTCAGGAGTACCTCAACACTTTTTAGACATCAATTAAAGAACTAAACAGAAACAGTGAATTATATGAAGTATTTGAATTTCTACTTGCATTGTTTCAGGTTTGAACGTAGGAAAGCCACCATCCTCACGACTCAAAGACAACAGGTCTCTCTTTAGCTATAATAATTGCTATAACCTCCGAGGATGTTGGTATTAAAAAAAGAAGGAGGAAGAGGAGAGTATGGATGAAAGAGTGGTTGAAGAAAAGATCCCTTTTTAGCCACGCAAATCTCCTCAAGGAACTTCAATTGAGTTCACCACTAGATTACAAAAATTATTTACGAATGGACCCCACTACTTTTGGCGAATTATTGGTAATGATAACACCACTTATAGAAAAACAACATACTATAATGAGAGAAGCAATATCACCCAAGCAAAGGTTATTTGCAACTTTACGATACCTTACTTCTGGGCTTACTTACGAGGGTTTAAAGTTCGAAACAGCAATAGCTGCTCAAACACTTGGAAAGATTATTATAGAGACCTGTGACGCAATCATAAAGGTTTTGAAGAAATATATAAAGGTAAGTAATTATTACTTTATTAACGTTCATTAAAATAACAATACAAATAATATGAACTAAAAATAAACAAAGTAATATAAAACCTGAAAAACTGAAGTTATTTGATTGTTGGGCAACTTTCTCCTACTACAATATATTTAAATAAAATCTGGGTCTGGATATGGGTCTTCTGGTCTGCCTATCTGTACCGGAGCTGGGGAGTAATGAGTTTTTGTATTATT